CAGGAGAGGTGTCGTGTTCCACCAGGACAACGCTAGGCCACACACATGTACAGTGACTCGCCAGAAACTTCGGGGGCTTGGTTGGGAAGTTTTAATGCATCCGCCATACAGTCCGGTCTTGGCACCAAGTGATTATCATATTTTTGTTGCATTGCAAAGTTTCTTTAATGATAAAAAATTGGAATCTAGGGAGGATTGTGAAAATCGACTACTAGAGTTTTTTGCAAATAGAAACCAGGACTTCTATGAGAGAGGCATTTTGAAGTTACCTTTAAAATGGCAACAAATCCTACAACAAAACGGTGCATATTTGACCCAAATCGGACAATCCGAAGCATGTTAAATAAAGTCCTGAAGTTCATATAAAAATAATGGATTTCTTTTTCCCCAAACTGATGTTTCTATATGACTGATCATTTCTAAAGGAGTTTCCCTTGTTAACAAGGTGATGGTTGAAATTCCCCTGTTAGTTCTGAAAGTTCCGCCTAATATATGAAAGATTACCATCTTAAAGCCACATGCATGTAATCCAAATTGCCTGTTTTTTCTAAATTAAGCAAAAATTTTAGAAATACTAGTTTTTCCGTTCATTACTGTTTCTTCGTTTTGTGCATGCGTTTAATTTCTCTATTCAAGATACCTTATCTATGTTTTTAAGACACTAGCGAATTAATAAAGCAATAAATATTATGAAAGAGTCAAATAAATGTCATGAAAACGCAGCCAAGTTATTCAAAACCTATAAAAGTTTTTTTAAGGAAGGGCCTTTGAAATTGAAAGGATAATGTGTTTTCAGAACAAACTTTTACTATTAGTCTTTCCAAAGGCTCAACAATTTTTTTACAATTTGATATCTTCAAATCTAGTTTTACTTTAAATAAAACACTTAAAAAAATATACATAAAAGTAATTCTTTAAATTGACCTCCTCTAAATTGAAATGGCTTCTCGCTTCTCTGTTGCAATCTTGAACAAATTGCCAAAAATCATTTGTAAGATATAACCGCAATAAACTTTATAATTATTAAGCAAAAAGTTTCTTAAACACTAAAGAAACCTTTAACAATTGCTTACAAAGTTATTACGAAAATAAAATAAAGTTTTATTTTAAGATCTTAAAAGTGTAGAATTTCATTTTTCCTTTTTTTTTTTTTTATTTATATGGCTTCAACTTCTTGTTTTGTTCTTTTTTTTTTTTGCAATATTTTGCACACACCCAAAACAAATTAAGCTCTTAGCACTTGGAATAGCTCTTGTAAAAGCATGGTACGTAGTGTGATGTACGTGTTGCTTCTTATCTTCGCAAACAATTTTGCAGAGAAAGAGATTTTAAATTTAAGAAAGCATTTTTCTAAAATTGACACAATTGTCAGTTATACGAGCAGAGTTTAGCGGAGTATTAGGAAGCCAAAGTCTGACACAAACAGTATGTGATTGTTGTTCCAACCAAAAACCTACGAAAATATTTTACAATAACAAAAACAATGGCATTAAAATACCAACAATTTCTAGAAAATTTTTAGAAAAAGCAATAGTTGTCAAAAGTTTGTATGTATACCCGACCACCCCCATCCACCCGAACGTTCTCCTACCACGACAATTTGAAATGATGAAGGAAGCAGAGGAAAGTAACAAAAGAAAAACAACAATGTCGCATTCGAATTGTTAGAAAATTTGCAAATGAATGTAGACAATTGTCAGCAAGCTGTCAGACGGCTTTGGCAGTAGCAACAATTACAACAGGAATAGCAATAAAATAGGAAAATTTCAACTTCAAGTCTAGTCTAAAACTTACAAGTATTACTTATGTTGTCTATGTACGTACGCCTTAAAATTATGCAGAAGGATAGCAAAAATCTTATAAACAATTATTTAATTATTTGATAAATTGTCGTAAAGGAATGAAGAACTTTCTTTTATAATTAAATTAAAATAGAAAAGTCAAACAAATCATAGCTTTCTTCTTCTACTTCTTTTTTTTTTTCATCATACTTACAATTTCCAAAGATTGCTTTAATTTATCAAACAAAGACGACCATAAGCTTGCACGAGTAAAAGCACTTTTATAGCTTTGCAGGATATCAATGAGTTCTAGAAACACTTTACGTCCATGATTGTCTCTTGGTGGACCGTCACGATACAATAGCAAAGTGGGATTAGTTAGAATAACCAGCAAACGTATTAGTACATCAGCATAGTCACTGTCATTTACATAATCGGGCAGCATGTATACTAAATCAGTTTGCAATACTTTTGCGCATCCTAAATGCCTGCGATATTCATGGTTATCTAGATCACGCCGCAAAATCCAAATAAGATGCTAAACGATAGAAGCGTACAAAGCAAAAAAAAAAAAAAAACGATCCAAATGAATTTTCTTTACAAAATTTTTTTTTAATTACAAAACAAACATACCTTCAACCCTTGTATGGCATCAGACGCTGCATGATAACGTTGACCATCAGAATAACCCAAAGCAGCACAAGTAGCATCAATATCTGCTAATAAAATCGACATATTCTTTCAATCACTGTTTTTCTCGTCTTTATTCCTTATTCAACTGAAGCAAGTTCTTTCTAATTATTTTGGAAATTGAGGCACAAAATCACATTAATTGCATAAATGGGAAAAAATAATTTCACTTAAACAGTTTGCAATGTTCTTGATGCACTTCGTATAAATCACAAATTGTTTATAAATTTTTCCCGCCAATATAGAAGCAATTTAGCAAAATAAGCAGCTGTTGAATGAATTTAGAGTTGCCGTAAGTGATAGATAACTTTTGCGCGTAAAGGTATTGCCATATCTATATAGTTTTTATCTTCTACATTAAATAAATATTACTATTACTTTTCAAGTAAGCCTTAAAGCAGGCAACAACAAAGTGTCTAATTGTTGAAGTTTAAACACATCCCAACAAGTGGTCGCTCATTTAATTATGCTCTCAAGTTACCAAATTCGAAGTTCACTCATTTGAGTACACTCTCAAGCAGCGATATATTTCGTATAAATTTGCAGATTTTTGAAACATGGCCGCTAATATATGAAAGAAAACAATGCCATGAATATATTTGTCCCTGCTTCTTGAGACATTTAATATAGATGGGTTTGATGTGCCAACTCATACACATCTTTTGCGATCTCGAAAGCCTATTACGTATGCGTATATTAGTTTATTTAAGTAATGCTTATGGCCTTGCGTGGACGTCAAGCGAAGAGTTTCTTTAAGATAGTTAACTTTGCCGACCTCTTAGGAAAATGCGGACTTTAAATTGCGTCTAAAAATACAACAAGGGCAGATCATGATGTATACATTCGTCGTATAAAGTTAACTGGTTAATATTAGCTCGTGTAATATTGATCTTGTGCCTGTGATCTATTGTAGGAGGCTTTAAAGCATCAACGCGGTCAGAAAGATGTTATACAACTTTTTGCAATAAATGATTACGTTTTACACGAATCTATGGAGGTCTCTCCAAAAAGCTCAAAAAAAGCCTTTCACTTATTTTTTGCATTGTTTGCATAGACAGTTTGTATACACATCGGTGAGTGCAGGTTGATTTGTGGATGCGTTGAGCGTGTATGCAGAGATTCGCATACCGATTTTGAAAGCGAGCAAACTGCTCTTAAAATTCTTATGTAAATATAGGTTTTCTGATATATAATGAGTGGGGCGCTCCTCACAGCACTTTATTTTCTCTTAAATCATTTATATACATTTTGTTTTGCAATCTGGAATTCAAATATAGCTAAAAATGCCTGCAGCACAAAATTCTCTGTCTTAACATAGGTGAATTGAAAAACATGCAATAATTTGTCAAAGGGAAAGCAGGTACTGAAAACTCAAGAAGTTCTTAAACCTAAAAAAACGAAAAAACCCCAACCGAAAGCAGCAAGCGTCTCCACTCGT